CTGCGTAGAGGTGGATCTGAGAGTCACCAGCAGCAAGAGCGACATCATTGATATACACGGAGAAAAGTGTCGGCCCAAGAATTGAACCCTGTGGCACCCCCATAGAGACTGCCATAGGTCCAGACAACAGGCCCTCCGATTTGACACACTGAACTCTATCTGAGAAGTAGTTGGTGAACCAGGCGAGGCAGTCATTTGAGAAACCAAGGCTATTTAGTCTGCCAATAAGAATGCGGTGGTTGACAGAGTCGAAAGCCTTGGCCAGGTCGATGAAGACGGCTGCACAGTACTGTCTATTATCAATCGCGGTTATAATATCGTTTAGGACCTTGAGCGTGGCTGAAGTGCACCCATGACCAGCTCGGAAACCGGATTGCATAGCGGAGAAGGTACGGTGGTATTCGAAATGGTCAATTATCTGTTTGTTAACTTGGCTTTCGAATACTTTCGAAAGGCAGGGCAGGATGGATATAGGTCTGTAGCAATTTGGATCTAGAGTGTCACCCCCTTTGAAGAGGGGGATGACCGCGGCAGCTTTCCAATCTCTGGGGATCTCAGACGTTATGAAAGAGAGGTTGAACAGACTTGTAATAGGGGTAGCGACAATTTCGGCGGCTAGTTTTAGAAAGAAAGGGTCCAGATTGTCTAGCCCAGCCGATTTGTAGGGGTCCAGATTTTGCAGCGCTTTCAAAACATCAGCTGTCTGAATTTGTGTGAAGGAGAAGCGGGGGGGGCATGGGCAAGTTGCAGCAGAGGGTGCAGAGTTGGTGGCCGGGTTAGTGGTAGCCAGATGGAAAGCATGGCCAGCTGTAGCAAAATGCTTGTTGAAATTCTCGATTATTGTAGATTTATCGGTGGTGATAGTGTTTCCTAGCCTCAGTGCAGTGGGCAGCTGGGAGGAAGTGCTCTTATTCTCCATGGACTTTACAGTGTCCCAAAACTTTTTGGAGTTAGTGCTACAGGATGCAAATTTCTGTTTGAAAAAGTTAGCCTTTGCTTTCCTGACTGCTTGTGTATATTGGTTCCTAACTTCCCTGAAAAGTTGCATATCGCGGGGGCTATTTGATGCTAATGCTGTACGCCACAGGATGTTTTTGTGCTGGTCAAGGGCAGTCAAGTCTGAGGAGAACCAGGGGCTATATCGGTTCTTAGTTCTGTATTTTTTGAATGGGGCATGTTTATTTAAGATTGAGAGGAAATTACTTTTAAGGAACAACCAGGCATCCTCTACTGAAGGAATGAGATCTATATCCATCCAGGATACCTGGGCCAGGTCAATTAGGAAGGCCTCCTCGCTAAAGTGTTTTAGGGAGCGTTTGACAGTGATGAGGGGTGGTCGTTTGACCGCGGACCCGTTACGGACGCAGGCAATAAGGCAGTGATCGCTGAGATCCTGGTTGAAGACAGCTGAGGTGTATTTAGAGGGTATGTTAGTCAGGATGATATCTATGAGGGTACCCATGTTTACGGATTTAGGGTTGTACCTGGTAGGTTCGTTGATAATTTGCGTGAGGTTGAGGGCATCTAGCTTGGATTGTAGGATGGCTGGGGTATTAAGCATATCCCAATTTAGGTCACCAAGCAGTACAAACTCTGAGGATAAATGGGGGGCAATCAATTCACATATGGTGTCCAGGGCACAGCTGGGGGCTGAGGGGGGTCTGTAGCAAGCGGCAACAGTGAGAGACTTATTTCTGGAAAGGTGGATTTTTAGAAGTAGAAGCTCAAACTGTTTGGGCACAGACCTGGATAGTATGATAGAGCTCTGCAGGCTATCTCTACAGTAGATTGCAACTCCACCCCCTTTGGCAGTTCTATCTAGACGGAAAATGTTATAGTTGGGGATGGAAATTTCAGAATTTTTGGTGGCCTTCCTGAGCCAGGATTCAGACACTGCTAGAACATCAGGGTTGGCAGAGTGTGCTAACGCAGTGAATAACTCAAACTTAGGAAGTAGACTTCTGATATTTATGTGCAAGAAACCAAGACTTTTGCGATTACAGAAGTCATCAAATGATAGCGCCTGGGGAGTAGGAGTGATACTGAGGACTGCAGGGCCTGGGTTAGCCTCTACATCACCAGAGGAACAGAGGAGGACTAGAATAAGGATACGGCTAAAGGCTTTAAGAACTGGTCTTCTAGTGCGTTGGGTACATAGAATAAAGGGGGCAGATTTCCGGGTGTTATAGAAAAGATTCAGGGCATTATGTACAGACAAGGATATGGAAGGATATGAGTAAAGTGGAGGTAACCCTAAGCGTTGGGTAACGATGAAAGAGATAGCATCGCTAGAGTCATCAATTGAGTCGGTCTCCGCGTGTATAGGGGGAGGTGCAAAGGAGCTATCTAATGCAGGTTTAGCTAGGCTGGGGGGTCTACAGTGATATAGTACAATTAGAAATAACCGAAACAACAATAAACTAACCATGTTTGGGCTGAGGCTAAACATAAACAGGATGTAGTACCGTAAAAAGGAACAGTCCAGCAGATATCAGCTGTATAGCTGAGTTATCATAAGGTCCGGTGGTGAAGCACTAGTAAGAGGCCACGGCTAGCGGGCCAGGGCTAGCAGATGGATGGAATCTTCGTGGTTAACGTCGTAACCACATCAGACGATTTCGTCCGCAGACCAGTCCTGTAGAATCGGCGGGGCTCCGTGTCAACACTAGGTGGTCCCGTCCGGTTGACAGAGAGGTAGATAGCCGGGAGATGGGCGATGGGCCTAGCTCAGGATGATTTGATTAGCCAGACCACAGCGTCCGTTTTGTTGAAGCTGGCTGGTGGTAGCTAGCTGGTAGCGATGAAATCCGGAGTTAAAGGTCCAGTGATTCAGGCGGAAAAACTGATATGTTCTGGGTCGATAACGCGCTGTGCAGACTGGCCGAATATCCGGTGATCAATGTCCAGTGATTAAAATTAATCCCGCAGAAAAAAATCCAATGTCCTGGGTGAAACACCGCTAGCTGTGGCTAATAGCAAATAGCAAGTAGCTAGTTAGCTGGCTAGCTAGTTTCAACTGGAGATTCTAGATTCTAGATAAAGGTAAGTCAAGGTAAGTCAATAATAGAATCCGTTCCACATTGAGTGAGGCGGGTTGCAGGAAAGTATATCTTGTAGAAGGATGAAAAGTCTGATAGGGAAATATGTACGAAAAATAGGGTATTTACAGGCTATTTACAGACAGACGATAAAAACACAACTGCACTACTACGCCATCTTGGATGATGGAGACCACTCTATTATTTATGGAACATCTCTGTACCACTCCTGTTTAAGTGCATTCCTGAGTACACTGCTGTCTTTGTTGTTCACCTTCTTGACATGCAGGTTTTCAGAAGCTCTTCCAGTTAGCATTGACGGATAGCCATCTCAGAGAAGAATTTGATGTTTTTTCTGTTATGAAAATGGCTGTTGCTAGGAAGAGAAACCCAACGTTTGGGCTGCTGACACAGAGCCACTAGCTACTTTCAAAGTGAATAAATCATTGTAGCGATGTCGTTTTAATGTCATATGTTAAACAATGTTGAACATAATACTGTACTGTCTATAATGCTGGACTATTATAGCTAAAATTGACTTCTCCAAGGACCCTCTCTCTAGGTCATAAAAGTATTTCCCTCACACTCTTCTTTCCTGGACCTCTCTTATCCTTGGCCTCTCTGCCCTGCTATGGCCTCAGCAGCTCCTCAAGGAGGGCAAAGAACCTCAATTTTAGCAGACCTACCAAAGGGGCCTTCACCTTTAATGGCAAGAACTGGTAACTGATAAGTTAGGGAAAGTACCTACTCAGTACAGGAATTGGCACTGAAGAGCCCATACCCTAAACAGTCTTAGTGAAGACTTAAGGCTCAAAGAGTTAGTGTAGCCTGAACGGTACACTGAAGCTAACCTTCTTCAATGACATAAGGAGAAGATAATCAGACCAGAGTCTCTGCAACTCAAGGAAAGAGCCAACAAACAGAGCAACAAGGGACACAACCCAAAGGAGCAGCACAAGGAACCACCCAACTCAGAGAGGAAAAGAGCAACAAGAAAGGAGACAGCCATCTTCCTTTGTACTTTCCATGCTGCCTGAACAACAGAGGCAACAAGCTTTTCCTCACAGACTGAGTATAACATCTTTAATATTCAGATATCGAGGTCTTCTCTTCTTCTCTTTCATTCCATTTCCCACCTTTCCATGATCGTTCTCATTATATCTTGATTAGTGTAATTAAATAAAGTCATTGTGTTGTCTTGTTATTCTGGTAAGAAACTCCAATTGATTTTTAAGATTTACATTTACATTTTAGTAATTTAGCAGATGCTCTTATCCAGAGCGACTTACAGGAGCAATTAGGGTTAAGTGCCTTGCTCAAGGGCACATTTACGTCATTTAGCAGACGCTCTTATCCAGAGCGACTCACCAATTGGTGCGTTCACCCTATAGCCAGTGGGATAATCACTTTACAATTTCAGGGTACCCATTGTGCTAGGTAGCCCGTGCAGGACAATAACCTTCAGATTAATCAATTATTACTATTGTTCTAATTTTAGTCATGAGTTATTTTAGCAATAACGTCTTTTTTCATAAGTCAATATTTGTTTCAATACTGGAATGGTGCCCAGATTTAATAATTTATAGTAATAACTCTTACATCATTAAATCATTTTGTAATTTGAGAGAATGAGAATATTATGAATCCTGGTAATGGGAGTGCAGGGTACCCATTGTGCTAGGTAGCCCGTGCAGGACAATAACCGTACAGTACAGTTCAAAATGTTACAAAATGTTACAAAGCTTCTCAGAGTAGGAGTGCTAATAAAGGATCAGTTTTGCCTTTTAGATCACCATAAATATGATGATTATATGGACAGGTGTGGACCTCATCCTAGATCAGGTGCTGTATGTATTAAGCGTTTCAAAGTAGGAGTGCTGATCTAGGATCAGTTTTGCCTCTTAGATCCCAACAAATTAGGTTACATGGACAGGCGGGGGACCTGATCCTAGATCAGCACTCCTACTCTGACCCAGGGAATGTACTTACCAGGGTCTGCTGCAGCACTACATGGAGCTCATCATGTCCATTATGTTGGGCGATCTCAGCGGGCGTCTGACCTTGGCGGTTAGCTGTGCACAGAGCTCTTTTCGCACCAGGACATTGTAGCAACACATTGGAGACGTCCTTAAACCCGTTCTGGGCAGCAAAGTGGAGAAGTGACGGCACCTCCTCTGGGTGCGCCTCTGGTTATGGTAGGAGATGTTTAAGATGGGTTAGGGTTAGGTGCAGACAGAAACCATCCTAAAATGTAGTCAGATAGATATTCTAGTTTGAGATGTGTGTGCATATTCAAGTTTTATTTAACCTTTATTTCATCAGGGAGTCATACTGAGACTAAGGTCTCTTTTACAGATGAGCCCTGAATTACATAAATTGCAGAAAATACACACATCAATATAAATACAAAATGCAAGCTGAAAGAAAGATAAACATGTCATAAAAAATTAACACATTCATCAGTTATAAGGTCCTCAATCAGCTTTCTGAATTGCCCTAGAGGCACCAAAACATCAAATGTAAGAACATGTTGAAGATTGTTCCACAAATAAGGTGCAAGAAAACTAAAAGCTCATAGAATCTGTGTGTGCGTTCGCAAGCGTCCTCTCAACAATAAAGAGGTGACTAAGAAAGAGATTGATGTGGTGTCTATCCCTGGTAATGGAACACTGCTCCTTCATGAGCCCAAGCAGAAAGTGGACCTGACAAAGTACCTTGACAACCAGGTCTTGCATTTAGGAATTTCCAGAGTTAGCCATCCCGGAGACCAGGTGTGGTAACTCATATGTCTAAAGTTTAGTAATAATATTAGGTACAGTGAGACTTTTTGTAAAAGGGCTTTATAAATGAAAACATAACAATGTATTCAGAGAGGGCCAACCAACTTTCTGGTAGAGAATGCAGTGATTAGTACTAAAATTGTTGCCTGTAATAAAGTTCAGTGCGCTATGATAAACTGCATCTATCTGCATTAATGAAGTGGCAGCTGCGTTCATATAGATGATGCCGCCATAGTCTAGGACCGATAGGAACATCGGCTGAATAATCTGCTTTCTACTATTTAGCGAGAGGCTGAACCTATTTCTATAGAAGAAGCAAACTTTTATTCTCATTAATATGCTTTTTAAAAGACAGCTTTTCATCTGTCGAGATGCCCAGATATTTGTAAGCAGGAACAGGATCAATATGGACTCCATCCAAAGTACCTATGCTTAAATCAGAGTTATTATTATGCCCTCTAGAGAACAACATCTACTTAGTTTTACCTGCATTCAATACTAATTTCTGGTCAATAAAGTTTTTATGTAATACAATGAAGGCAGACTGTAGTTCAGATAGAACCTGGTCAACAGCATACACAACAGTATTTATCACAAAGTTACTGCACAGATGACAAGTTAGGATTCAGGATTACTTACAAACTACAGTTCAACTACAACATTTGGTTGAGTCAGATTTAAAATGGATACAGCATCTGAACCCTTTATAATGCTTGAATATGGATATTTGAATATGTAAATTATTAACATCATACAGCCACATTCACATTTAACGGAGGTAATATCCACAGGTAGTCAGAATGTACGACCAAATTAGATCATTTTTTCCTACATTCAGTACTTGACTTGGACTGAAATATGTTCCGCTACTCATTGTGGGTGCCGATACTGTTTATATTTAGGTGCAGGAGCTACACAATACTTTTGAGCAAATATTCTATAAGAAGAACAGGAGCTCAAGCAGTAGAACATTTGATGTACCAGTACTCTGCTCCAGTGAGCTCCTGCCCAAGTCAAGCACTACCTACATTATTCGAATTTGATTAAACTCAAAACAAACATTAGAAACATTTAAATTAATGCTGAATGTTTAATGCATAAAGACTGCTCCCGGGCATGTATACATCCCTCCTCCACCCCAATCCTTTGGGCAGAGTAAAGAATCAATGCTAGAAACTGATTAAGCTATCAATCTACCTCAATGAGCAAACCCCGGGGTGGACGACAGGTCATTGGGCATGTGTAAAAAAACAAATTGGAGAAACATACATTGGGTCAATACCAATGCAAACTGGGGTTGAGATACTAATGGTATGATAAATCATTTAATGATTAAACTGAATTAATTCATATCTCTGAAATGACAGCAACACTTAACAAAGAGCTGCAGTTAGTTTCAAAATTGGTGGCAAGGAATAAGTTTGTCCTAAATATTTCAAAAACTAAAAGTATTGTATTTGGGACAAATCATTTACTAAACCCTAAACCTCAACTTAAATCTAGTAATTAATCATGTGGAAATTGAGCAAGTTGAGGAGACTAAATTGCTTGGAGTAACCCTGGATTGTAAACTGTCATGGTTAAAACATATTGATACAACAGTAGCTAGGATGGGGAGAAGTCTGTCACGACTTCCTCCGAAGCTGCCTCCTCTCCTGGTTTGGGCAGGCTTCGGCGTTCGTCGTCAGCGGCCTTCTAGCCACTGCTGCTCCTCATCTCATCATTCCATTTGTTTTGTCTTGTTTATTACACACACCTGGTTCATATCCCCTCATCAGTACTTGTATAAGTGTTCCCTCTGCCCCCTTGTCTTTGTGTGTGATTGTTTATTGTGAGGTTAGTGAAGCTCGGTTGAGCTCCTTGTATTTGTATTGCCGGGTTATTTTCTCTGTGTGCCTTGTTGGTTCCAGTGCGCCTGTTTGGTGCACTGGACTGTTTTGACCCATTACTGCGTAACTCTGTATTCCGGAACAAATCCAGCCCCCCAAGGGATCCATATATCCAGACCACGGGATTTCGACGGGACAGCTGCTCTCTGCCATGGATTCCTCCTCCAACTGGAGCTATACTATTCAAGCATCAGCCCGGCCCCATCGGAGCGGGAGAAGGTGTCCGCCCTCGTCTCCTGCCTCTCGGGTAAAGCCCTGGAGTGGGCCAACGCAATCTGGAATGAAGGAGGAGCCGCGTTGAACAACTACGGGGAGTTCGCTCGCCTCTTTCAGGCTGTCTTCGATCACCCGCCCGAGGGTAGAGAGGCGGGCGAGCGTCTGGTCCACCTGAGGCAGGGGACGAGGACCGTGCAGGACTTCGCCCTGGAGTTCCAGACCAGCAGCTGGGTCCGGGTGGAACAAGCGGGCCCTCATCGACCACTTCCGGTGCCATCTACGGGAGGACGTCCGAAGGGAGCTAGCCTGCCGGGACACCATGTTGTCCTTCACTCAACTGGTGGACATGGCCATCCGGTTGGACAACCTGCTGGCGGCCAGAGGACATCCTGCATTGGGCCTGCCCGGTACCGTTGGTTCCCCTATCCATTCCACTCCCCATCAGAGCACTTGACAGTCGACCATTAGGGTCCGGGTTTGTTAGGGAGGTTACAGCACCAGTCACTATGGTTACACACGAGACTCATCGAGAGCAAGTCAGTTTTTATTATTGAGTCTCCTGATTTCCCTGTTGTGTTAGGTCTTCCCTGGTTAGCACTCCACAACCCCACCTTTTCATGGCCGCAGAGGGTTCTCACGGGGTGGTCACGAGAGTGTCAGGGTAGGTGTCTAGGTTTCCGTTGGTGCAACCACGGTGGAAAGTCCAGACAGTACCTCCACTGTGCGTATTCCCCCCGAATACCTCGATTTGGCGCACGCGTTTTCCAAAACGCAGGTGACCAAATTACCACCTCATCGGAGTCATGTGTATCCCCTGTCGCAGGCTGAAACGGAGGCTATGGAGACATACGTCTCCGAGTCCCTGCGCCAGGGGTTTATACGTCCCTCCACTTCACCCGCCTCCTCAAGTTTATTTTTTGTGAAGAAGAAAGACGGAGGTCTGCGCCCTTGCATTGATTACCAATCACTGAACAAGGGGACGATACAATTTAGTTATCCTCTACCCCTCATTCCATCTGTGATCGAGTCAATGCATGGGGTGCGCTTCTTCACAAAATTAGATCTCTGGAGTGCGTACAACCTGGTGCGTGTCCGAGAGAGGGACGAATGGAAGACAGCATTCAGCACAACCACGGGGCATTACGAATACCTGGTGATGCCGTACAGTTTAATGAATGCTCCATCCGTCTTCCAGTCCTTTGTGAACGAGGTGTTTCGGGACATGCTTGGTCGCGGTGAAGTGGTCTACATCGATGACATTCTGGTGTATTCCGCTACGCGCGGCGAGCATGTGTCCCTGGTTCGCAAAGTGCTGGCCCGACTGTTGGAACATGACCTTTATGCCAAGGCAGAAAAGTGTCTGTTTTTCCAAAAGTCAGTCTCCTTCCTCGGATACCGCATTATCACCTGGAGTACATCTGGGCAGCGAGGAGGCTGAACCCTCGCCAGGCCAGGTGGGCCCTATTTTTCACCCGGTTTGATTTTACACTATCATACATCCCGGGTACGAAGAACGTGAAGGCAGACGCACTGTCACGGCTGTACGACACAGAGGAGAGGCCCAGAGACAACACCCCCATACTCCCGGCCTCCCGCATTGTGGAGCCGGTAGTATGGGCGATGGACGCGGATATTGAGCAGGCATTACACACAGATCCATCTCCACCTCAGTGTCCAGCTGGGCTGCAGTACGTGCCTGCTCTTATCCGTGATCGTCTGATCTTCTGGGCACACACGTCACCCAGGTATCGGTCGTACAGTGCGCTGCCTGACCGGAAAGTACTGGTGGCCTACCTTGGCTAAGGACGTGAGGGTGTATGGCTCCTCCTGCGCGGTGTGCGCCCAGAGTAAGGCACCTAGGCACTTCCCAGCGGGTAAGTTACAGCCTTTACCAGTTCCACAATGGCCATGGTCCCACTTGAGTATTGATTTCCTTACTGATCTTCTCCTCTCTCAAGGTAACACCACCATCCTGGTCGTTGTGGACCGCTTTTCCAAAGCCTGCCGCCTCCTTCCTCTGTCGCCTTAATTTTGCTGGACCCCAGGAAGAGTAGCTGCTGCCTTGGAAGCAGCTAATGGGGATCCATAATAAATACAAATACAAATACTATTACAGGTTACGCAAACTTTGTAATAGACAGTTTGACCTAATTTCCCAAATCAATGTATTAAATTGAAAACAGAAATCATGCACAATGGGCAGTAGTCAATATCATAATTAGTTGTTTTTGTGACCAACTTTAAATCATTGATATTGCACTTAAGCGAGCTAGGAAAACTGTTATGAATGCTGAAGTGCTTGTCAATTTTTTGATTGAAATTTACACATAACTGTGCAGCACCGGCAAGATTGATGGAAAAGCCCCAATATGATCTAATCATGATCAGATGTGGAGGACAACCTCCAGAAGACACATTGCATCCATGGTGTAGCCACGTGTCAACTAAATGATTCATTATAATGGGAAAAACTATATCAATGTGAATCTCTGGAGATATTGTAAATTGTGGTATGAAAAGCTGTTATTCTAAGAATGGTTAATGAGTTATCTAACATTACTTCTAATAAATGTGACTCATTAGTCTATTACATATCTCTGCAGTTATTTTCCACAAATAGCGTTAACAACATTACGGACACAGTCTCCTGTAATTGGCATGTTCCTCTTGGTGAACAGAATAGCTATTATGTGTTTCAACACCTGCATCCAATTAATACATGAAAAGTAAACAACATTGAAGGACTGTAATTATGGCCTCTTTTCTTATCTAAATGTAAAGAATGTTGTGAGATAGAAAGAAACCTCTGTGTATCTAAGATCACTGTGAGAGCATGACAACCTTTGATTAATTATCAGTTTACACAATTCAGAGCATTTTAGTAGTGTCCACAGGTGTGTAACTATTGCACTGGATGGTAAATGTATTTACTCATATATTGATGTTTAAATATCACATAACATAAAATATGAATGTCAGCAGATCATTTAATTGACTATGGATTGTCGAGGGGGTACAGACAACAGAACACTTACCTCCTTCGGGTGGGTAATCTCCCTGCAGTCCCTGGAAGCCTGTGGAGGGCATGGCTTCCAACAGCATGGAGGACAGCCTTTGGTCCAGCTTCTCCACCGAGGACACCTGAAGAGACTGAGATCACAGGCCAGGATGCATGAGCACAGGGTTGCAAAATTCTGGTCACTTTCACAAAAAAGTTTTTCTGCTAATTCCTCTTGATTCTGGGAATCTTCCCACCTAAATTCCTGAGGAATTTTGGGAAAGTTTCCAGAATTTTGTAACCCTAGCACACTGTCATAGCCAAGTCATTTCAGCTATGTCAAGTGCTACAGATGTGAATGAATCATGAATTATTATGTATGGCATAATTTCATTGCCTGTGTGTAGGGAGATAAGTGCTATGTAAACTAATAGGGGCAGAGTGAGTGATACTAACAAGCGACATACACTGAGTATACAAAACATTAAGAACACCTGCTCTTTCCATGACACAGACTGACCAGGTGAAAGCTATGATCCCTTATTGATGTCACCTGTCAAATCCACTTCAATCAGTGTAGATGAAGGGGAGGAGACAGGTTAAAGAAGGATGTTTAAGCATTGAGACAAGGATTGTGTGTGTGTGGCATTCAAAGGGTGAATGGGCAAGAACAAATATTTAAGTGCCTTTTGAACTAGTTATGGTCGTTTTTAACGCTCAACAGTTTCCTGTGTGTATCAAGAATGGTCCACCACCCAAAGGACATCCAGCCAACTTGACACAACTGTGGGAAGCATTGGAGTCAACATGGGCCAGCATACCTATGGAACGCTTTGGACACCTTGTAGAGTCCATGCCCCGACGAATTGAGGCTCTTGTAAGGGCAAAAGGGGGGGATGAGATGAGGGAGGATGCTAATTTTTTTTTGTGGGCCTTATCTCTACTATAGCATATTGGATGACTGTCATTCATATTCCATTCACCCAGCTCAATGTAACAGCGATAGGTTTAGGCTACTACATTATACTCAAATTTTCCCTGTACCCATCATGAGGTTGCTACAACCTAGACTATGAATGAAAGTTTACAACGTAGGTGCACAGGTCGAGATAATTTTGAGTAATAAAGGTGACAGACATTGACACATTCAATACCTCCTTGCACACGTTTTCCTGCATCTAGCTGATCTAGGGTGTAATCATTAGTCCAACAGTTGCAAATGTGAGTTTCTATTGGACAAATTCAGGTACGTTTATCCCCGTTTCGTTCCGTTCTTCTCGCAACTATCTACGTGCTCTCCTCCTCTCACCTTTTCCCTTCGCTTGTGGACTTCAGTGCACAACACATCAGCTGTCTGTGAGCAGGCGAAAAAACCTTTCCAAGCCAAACCTTCATATCATGACTGCTAAACACAGCCTACATCGTTGTCATGTCATAGTCAACATAGCTACTAGAACTAACACGTTAATAAACCCGCTTCAATCATGCAGTACAGTGTACAGTCAGAAAGCAGTTACACCGGCGGGCCCAGGTGGCAATAAATTAATAAAACCAAAAGCTTACCTTGACTTGGAAGAGTTCCAGTGTTGGATAGCCATAGCCAGCTAGCTAACATAGCATCCCTCTCTGTAGGCTAAACTAGCTAGCTGCATTCGCTAAGTAAAAGTATCTCTCTCTCTCTCTCTCTCTCTCTCTCTCTCTCTCTCTCTCTCTCTCTCTCAAAAACTGTTCAACTGTTGTCTTTCTCTCTTTGAGTCAACTACTCACCACATTTTATGCACTGCAGTGCTAGCTAGCTGTAGCTTATGCTTTCAGTACTAGATTCTTCTCTGATCTTTTGATTGGGTGGACAACATGTCAGTTCATGCTGCAAAAGCTCTGATAGGTTGGAGGACGTCCTCCGGAAGTTGACATAATTACTGTGTAAGTCTAGGGGAGGGGGTGAGAACCATGAGCCTCCTAGGTTTTTATTGAAGTCAATGTACCCAGAGGAGGACAGAAGCTAGCTGTCTTCCAGCTACACCATGGTGCTACCCTACAGAGTACTGCTGAGGCTACTGTAGACTTTCATTGCAAAACAGTGTGTTTTAATCAATTATTTGGTGACGTGAATATATTTAGTATAGTTTTATCTAAAAAGGATAACTTTTTTAAATGTTTCACTATTTTTATTTGTATGAAATTTACTGTGGAGGATGGTCCTCCTTTTCCTCCTCTAAGGAGCCTCCACTGTTCAAAATAAAGTTTTTATCAATGTAATATTCCTCCAGGTGTTGGCAAGTCGTACTGTATACCGACTGTACAAATGGCCTTCATGGTAAACCAATCAACTGAATGATCATATTGTTCTAGTGAGGGCTTCCCTCCCCAAGTTCCCTGAGCTGCTATGGCCTGGGCATACCTGGCACATGAAGTCCACAGGGTCTGCCACCCTGGTCAGAAGGCAAGCCATCTCATCCATGGTGCTGTAGTACTGCAGATGGGCCTTCCCCATCACCACCCCACTACAGTACAGTGTTACGCCCACACTTCCTGCTGGGAAGTCTGCAACAGAAAGAAAAATTATAACATGTCTCATAAGCATTTGGCATCATAATTTTAGAAACCATGGTATTTTGTTGCGTGCTCTCTGACAAAGTAATTAAGTCGCTCTAGGGTCATTCCATGTCATTTCAGCACCCATGACATCCACCATCTCAGATTGTTCTGAAATTATTTATGTTGCTAGAAACAGATAAGATTAGCATTCCTGGAACAATATTTTGTTGACATTTTATTTGATCTCCTTGAAATTAAGCTAATTGTTTGCACCCAAATTGGCCCTTTTAATTTATGGTATTCCATAATATTCAACAAAAATAGTACCCAACATCCGATTTGGACCAAACATCTTCCTACCATTGAGTAAGACATGAGGAATCCCAAAAAATTGTCAAAAGCCACCCACGGATCACCCACACCCCATGCCAATCCCACCCCAACAACCAGTATACAGTATCATCTGTTCTCTATGTCTGACAAGTACTATGGAGCTGTGGCTTGGAGTATTGCTTCTTCATCCTTTGTAATGTATTTCCTGTGAATCTGGTGATGCCCCCCCCCCCCCGTTCAGAGGAATTAGCCATTGAAGTCACTTGCATTACTTACCATAAATTAGTGTTTAAGTACCAGGTTCTGCCACCACACCCTTTTATCAATTTTGCTGGTCTCTTGTGTTTATTAAATGGATCACAACATTTTCTTTGCAACTTTGGGTAGAAATCCAATAGCTTTGCTCATGACGAAAATAAATTGTGTGGTCAATTTAATGCAACAAATTGCAGCTCTCTGGGGGTTATCCGTATGGTGAAATTCCTACAAGCCCAAAACTTTGATGGAGAAATGGGCTAGTGACTAAAATGTTGTGACAACCCTAATAAAATAATACAATTATAAACCATTGCATGGCAGTCAGATGTTTTTCAATAAAATTCTTAGAAAAACCAATACAATTACCATCGCAAAACACTATACAGTGTGTGTTTGGGACTTTAACATTTACATTTACATTTTAGTCATTTAGCAGACGCTCTTATCCAGAGCGACTTACAGTTAGTGAATACATTATATATCTTTTTTTTATACTGGCCCCCCGTGGGAATCGAACCCACAACCCTGGCGTTGCAAACGCCATGCTCTATCAACTGAGCTACATCCCTGCCGGCCATTCCCTCCCCTACCCTGGACGACGCTGGGCCAATTGTGCGCCGCCCATGAGTCTCCCGGTCACGGCCGGCTGCGACAGAGCCTGGATTTTTTTACCATTAAAGACGATTAGAGAACATAACATTGTAACCATTAGAACTGCTGTAACCTAATGGTTCGCTTGTATGCCAGGAATGGTCTAACTAATCCATACCTTTTTTGAAGGGAATAAACCACACACAGAGGGGCCATTTTCTGGACACAAAGAGAAGGACAAACTGAATTGCTTTCATGGAGGATTGAATTGCGAGGATGACCACACAATTTATTTTCATCATGAGCAAAACCTATTGGTTTTCTGCCCATTTTTGCAAAGAAAATGTTGTGATCGATTTAATAAACACAAGAGACCAGGAAATGGATACAAGGGTGTGGTGGCAGTAGCAGGAACAGTGGCATCTAGTGGGCAAAACATGGTACTTTCACACTCATTTATGGTAAATAATGCAAGCGACTTACATCACCAGATTCACAGGGAATACATTACAAAGGACGAAGAAGCATTACTCCAAGCAGCAGCCCCACACTACTTGTCAGACAGAGAACTGATACTCTATACTGGTTGTTGGGGTGGGATTGGCGTGGGTGTGGGGGGTCCGTGGGTGGCCTTGATCATTTTATTGGATTCCTAATGTCTTACTCATTGGTAGGAAGAATTATGTTCCAAATCAGATGTTAGGTACTATATTTATTGAATATTATATGAATCCTGTTAATCTGATCTGTTTCTAATTATAGAAACGATTTCATAACAATCTGAAATGGTGATTGTCGAAATCCTCTTTCTTGTGCTTTTTGAGGTGGAATGACTCTCTACAATAAGCAACAATGCCATTGAATTTTCACTTACCTGCTGCGTTCACACAGAGGGTGTGTTTGTTCCAGTGGACAGGTTTCACTCTCACCCTCTGTTTACTCCTACTGAACTCAACCTCAGCATCTTTACTGGCCACAGTGTCTTTTAAAATAATGAACACCTCGCCTGGTGTCTACAGGAGGGAAGAACACAAGACATAAACGTACTGTAACAAAAAAAAAAAGTACATTGGTTGACATTCTGACAATGTAAAAAGCAGCTCTATTAAATGTTTTTTTTTTTACGGTAGAAAATACCAATTTGTAATGTAAAAGTAACATGACTACATTTTGGATCTATATTGTTTGCATAAATCTTCTTACAGTACATTTTATGTATGACTGGCTGAATAAGTCATGTCACTGAATGCTTTGATGTGTCCTCCTGACATGTTAGTGCCTCACCCCACAGGGAACTCTGGAGGGGACCAGCAGCATGTTGTTGGGTTTGGTACTGGAGGCTCCGGTAGACTGCCTGCTCTCCAACTTTAGGTTTAGCTCCAGTCCTGTCAACTTCCCAGGAACAGAACTGACGTTCCCTGCTGCAGCCTGGTGCCCTGTGGAAGGTCCACCGACAGTCAAGCCAACATTAAATACTTAGTGTTTCCCCTACCATTGTATTTGGTGCCAGATGGCCTTACATTTACATTTTGGTAATTTAGCAGATGCTCTTATCCAGAGCGACTTATAGGAGCAACTAGGGTTAAGTGCCTTGCTCAAGGGCACAGCGATTTTTCACCTAATCAGCTCGGGGATGCGAACCATCGACCTTTCAGTTACTGGCCCAACGCCCATAACCGCTAGGCTACCTGCCACCCGCCTTGGGCCTTTGTCCCCATCTGGAAAATAATTTTGGCTCAAGTGTTTCACTGTTGTCTGCAAATCATGAGATTCAAATATCCCAAGCAACAGTGAATATCTACATTTCTGAGTTGCTTTAAAATCTACATTTGAGTTTTACAGTAGTTTACAAAGATTAGCCAGAACTGACTGTGCGTGCCACACCAGGATGAGACTAAGTAGGATATTTTTGGATTTGCATAAAGAGAGATAATGGCCACTGGTGACGAAAGAGGAAAGGGAGAATTTGAATGATGAGACACATCGGCAGACAAACATACCTTTTGGACCTCCCGTCCATTTTACAAAACAATATAGATGGCAGCAGATGGTTTCAAATTTCTCAGAAAACTCTTACTGGGAAGCAGAGTAGAGAGTGACTCAGGAAATAATTACTGTCAAATTCCTCAGAATACGTAGTGTTCTCATGGAAACCGAGGCCAAACTGAACACAAGCTACTGTCTAACAGCTGCAACACTTAACTAGAGCCAGGGACATTGTGTTCCTACACTTTGTGTCCACATCTGATGCCCCGGGGCACCTACCTCCAGTGCCATGCCCCCCCCCCCCCATGCGAAAAGTGTTAAAATTCTTGTTTTGTTTTTGAGAAACTGGTTTTTGAGGGGGAAAACAACTAACTTCCTGAAATTCTAGAGGTCGGGGCCCCAGGGCCTGCGTGCCAGTTCAGTAATCTGGCCCTGTTTGTGTCTGACCTCCCATTATTTGCTACTTTACTAGCTTGAGTGTTGACTTGAGCTGCAGGTATGCGCTATCTGTGATTTGACAATGCCCAGTTGTATGGAAATTGGTGTGCAGACGTCGCCTGTGAGGCAAGTCTGCTGATTGGCATATTTTCTGAGGCAATTACTTTAAAAATAATAAAATTCAACAGATGTAGGTAGCCACAACTTTTCACCTCGCAGCCATGTCCGGAAGCAATCAAGTCCACTAATAGGCAACGGGAATGATCATAAAATGATTCTCTATTTTGTTTATTTCAGATATTATGTACGGGAACTATGACTTTTACATTCACTTGAATATCAAGATCATGCGTTGGATTTACTGTGATAATTGTGCATTCAACAATTTCAAGTATGTAGACAAAACACCCACCATATATATATATATATATACACTACCGTTCAAAAGTTTGGGGTCAGTTAGAAATGTCCTTATTTTCAAAAGAAAATCACATTTTTGGTCCATCAAAATAACATCAAATTGATCAGAAATACAGTGTAGGACATTGTTAATGTTGTAAATGGCTATTGTAGCTGTAAATGGCTGATTTCTTATGGAATATCTACATAGGCGTACAGAGGCCCATTATCAGCAACCATCAGTCCTGTGTTCCAATGGCACGTTGTGTTTGCTAATCCAAGTTTATCATTTTAAAAGGCTAATTGATCATTAGAAAACCCTTTTGCAATTATGTTAGCACAGCTAAAAACTGTTGTGCTGATTAAAGAAGCAATAAAGCTGGCGTTCTTGAGACTAGTTGTGTATCTGGAGCATCAGCGATTGTGGGTTCGATTACAGGCTCAAAATGGCCAGAAACAAAGAACTTCCTTCTGAAACTCGTCAGTCTATTCTTGTTCGGAGAAATGAAGGCTATTCCATGCGAGAAATTGCCAAGAAACTGAAGATCTCGTACAACGCTGTGTACTACTCCCTTCACAGAACAGAGCAAACTGGCTCTAACCAGAATAGAAAGAGTGGAAGTCCAAAAGGCCACTCTAAAATGTGCAGTTTTGTCACACAACATAAGCAATTGGCATGCTGACTACAAGAATGTCAACCAGAGCTGTTGCCAGAGAATTTAATGTTAATTTCTCTACCATAACCTGCCTCCAACATTGTTTTAGAGAATTTGGCAGTACATCAGACCGGCCTCACAACCGCAGACCACGTGTATGGCGTCATGTGGGTGACAGGTTTGCTGATCTCAACGTTGTGAACAGAGTGCCCCATGGTGGCGCTGGGGTTATGGTATGGGCAGGCATTAACTACGGACAATGAACACGATTGCATTTTATCGATGGCAGTTTGAATGCACAGATATACCGTGACGAGATCCTGAGGCCCCATTGTCGTACCATTCATCTGCTGCCTTTACCTAATATTTCAGCATGATAATGCACGGGCCCAATGTCGCAAGGTTCTGTAGACAATTCCTCGAAAATGTCCCAGTTCTTCATTGGCCTGCATACTCACCAGAAATGTCAATGATTGAGCATGTTTGGGATGGTCTGGATCGACGTGTACGAAAGCATGTTCCAGTTCCTGCCAATATCCAGCAACTTCACCCACAGCCATTGAAGAGGAGTGGGACAACATTCCACAGGCCACAATCAACAGCCTGATCAACTTTATGCGAAGGAGATGTGTCGCGCTGCATGAGGCAAATGGTGGTAACACCAGATACTGACTGGTTTTCCGATCCACGCATCTACTTCCCACTTGTTGCCTCAGGAATGAATACAATTATTATTATATAATTCATTGTTGAATAAGCATAAAATAACTATTTTGGGGGGATTGCAGACCCTCTACACTGCATCCAACCTCCCATGATCCCTCTCTCTGCCCTTCCCCTTTACCTCTCTGCACGATGTCGGTCACAGCCGACATGTACTCGTCGGCGTCTTGCTCGCTGGATATCTGCAGACACTCGTCCCCCTTGAGGGGCACCACCTCCAGGAGGGGCGCCAGGCTATCCACCCCACATAGGAGCACCACCACGTGGGCCGCAGGGTTCAGCACCCGGGCCAGGAAGAAGCGTCGGAGCTGGCACAGGCCCTCTAGCATGCCCCTGGACAGGATTAACAGCTTGACCTTGTACTGGCCCAGTCGCAGGAAGTCCTCCCGCCGGCTGGTCACCGTGGCGATGTCATAGCAACAGATCCCTCCCTCCGGGACTGGTCCGGCAAAGATAGAGCGCAGGTATACAGCCCACTGCTCTGCCTCCGCCTCATAGATGATGAGCAGGTCCTCGGCTAAAAGAAGATGGTGGAAATAGGGAGATTTTCACAGGTGCAATGGCCACTAATAAAAGCCTCATATTGCAAGTCAAACCAATATGTAACATGTTGTAAATGTGTTTTATCCATCCATGTTCAAATCAGTCTCTCTATGAAAAACATTACCTTATGCTTTACGGGGCTCCAGCTCCCTTGATAAATACAAGTTATTTCACTAAATGTTGCTGCTATATAATATGACTAAAATATTACTAACACAAACATTTTGCATTAAACTAATCCGGTAAGTAAGAGTCATGATATTGTTGAATTGATTGAATGTAGCATCTAGTAGACTGACTAGGGAATTGCACACTTTTAATTATGTATATGAAATAACAGTCATCTTTTCACAAGTTTGATATGAACATTGGTATAGTTGAAAATACTTTGAATTAAGTCATCTCACATATTCTTCAACGTTTACTTGGTTTTTACCTGGTCATATGAGAAGTACAACAATAGAAAGTGTACCAGATTCTTCAACATCATAATGCACAATTACAGCTGTGATGTATCCAAAAACAATATTCCAAAATCAACAATATCACAAAAAACTCAAACGTAATAGCATAGCAACACAAGAGATGCAAAAGTCTAAGAATTTACGAAAAAGTTCAGAAGGTCTAGGCTACTCACCTGAGCTCATTTTTCACGTCTGTCTGCGTGAGAGTCCTTCTCTCCGCTGTGACAAAATAAAACAACTCTCCACACACTGGTTCTATTGTATGCCATTGGTCTGATAACTAGTTAAGGGCAGGGAGCTTCCTGCTTGTCAAGATCAGACAGAGAGATGGGGCAGTGCATGGTATCTCTGTTTCCAGATTATTTTAGTGTCTAGCCTTTACCTGATCTATGGAGGAAGGAGCATGATCTAAATAAAACATACAAACTATACCCTTGATAGGAATACTTAAGAATAATTAACAAGCAAACACAAAAAATACTTAATGTAACATTCTTTATTTACTTTAACTTATAGGCCCATTTATAGAGAAACGTCAGACGCAGAAATAAAAAACTATTAAAGTTTATTAAAGGCTCCAGGTTTAGATTTGCCTGTTTGAAACAGATTAACTTGGACCCCAAAGCCGTCAAAGTCTCTAAACATATGAAACCAACTGCAAAACAAAATTACATTATTACACATGCATTACTTAACAATAAACATAACGAACATTGTCAAACTTTAAAAAATACTGATAAGTACACTCGACCACGACCCAAACATTTCTTCATAAACAGACTGCATGGTACCCAAATGGTTCTCAAAATGGTTCCCTCAAAGAAATACTGGCACAACAACAGTGCCGGACAACCTCTACACAATGGGACTAAGCTCTCACCTGCACAGGTCTAAGGGGTTTTGACTAGATGGAGTACAACTACGACCGAAAGTGACTTTTCATAGCAGGTTAGGAGAGCATTTTAGCTAACCCTAACCTGCTACGTTAATTTTCCTAACCTGTTGCAAAAAGTAACTTCCGGTCATAGCTGGTCTAAGGGGTGCTTTTATACCTTTTTACATGTTCACCACTAATTAGAGTTCCCTGGGAAACACAGACCAAAACGATGGTTCCTATATTGTCACATTAACATGAATTGGGTGATTCATGCCCATAACTAGCTACCAGTTGCCATGGCACCGTGAGGTCGCCTAGGCAGAGAGCTCCTTTAAATGTGTAAATATTTTATTGTTTTTATGTGTTTTTTTATATAAAAAATGTTTATCAACGTCTTATTTTGTTAGTTTAATAAGTTTGTATTATTTCTATATCGATTCAACGGTGTAATACGACCGGCAAGTTAGTTTGTTTTGTCAAGATAGCTCAGAGGCTAGTGAGCCAGCCTTTGTTTTTATTTGAAACTGGAGATGGCGCAGGCTTGGACATCACAGAGGCTTGTTGTAGTTTTGAGTGGATCTCTCACTCCAAGGTGTATTATCTCAATAATTGATGTGTAGTGAGCCTCTGACGCCGGCTTCACCCAGGTGGTTGCTACATGCTGTTTGAGGAGTATCGTTATCTACCCAGGGAGTCTGCAGAAAAGCTGGGGATGACAAGGGCTGGCCTGATGATCCGGACCTGTCTTACTGACCCGACCCCCCCCGTGAATGAGACCACTGATTCCCCTTACTCAAACCTGCTTCAGGGCATCAGAGAAGCTGAGAACAGCATGGAGGAGGAGAGTGCTGAGGGTGGAGAGTGAAGGCTCTTTACTGACTTTCAGGAGACTGTAGGTTTGGACTATGTGCAGCCCACCGGAGTAGGATGTGACCTGGACGCATGCCCCAGCCTCTGTTGAAGATCATTGTCCAGCCCAAGAACTACATGTACTCTTATTTTTTTATTTTTTAGGGGGTAGATCAGCTTTAATATTGCAGATAGATTGTAACTTCCATCAATGTAATTGTCTGCATCACTTCCAATCCCCCATATGTTTTTTTCTCTCGCAAATATATATATACAGTGGGGGGAAAAAGTATTTAGTCAGCCACCAATTGTGCAAGTTCTCCCACTTAAAAAGATGAGAGAGGCCTGTAATTTTCATCATAGGTACACGTCAACTATGACAGACAAAATGAGAAAATAAAATCCAGAAAATCACATTGTGTCACGATCGTTTACGGACGAGAAGGACCAAGGCGCAGCGTGATATGCATTCATATTTATTTCACGAATAAACGCACAACCAAAACAACAAACGAAACGTGACGTCCAAGGTAGATATATAACATACGCACCACTGGCTTGGTGCGGGGAGCAGGAACGGGCCGGACTGGGCTGACGACGCGCACCCCTGGCTTGGTGCGGGGAGCAGGAACGGGCCGGACTGGGCTGACGACGCGCACCACTGGCTTGGTGCGGGGAGCAGGAACGGGCCGTACCGGACTGGCTACGCGCACCACTGGCTTGGTGCGGGGAGCAGGAACGGGCCGGACTGGGCTGACGACGCGCACTACTGGCTTGGTGCGGGGAGCAGGAACGGGCCGTACCGGACTGGCGACGCGCACCACTGGCCTGGTGCGGGGAGCAGGAACAGGCCGGGCCGGGCTGGCGAAGCGCACCACTGGCTTGGTGCGAGGGACAGGAACAGGTCGGACCGGGCTGGCGACGCGCACCACTGACTTGGTGCGAGGGACAGGAACAGGCCGGACCGGGCTGGCGATGCGCACCACTGGCTTGATGCGAGGAGCAGGAACGGGCCGAACCATACTGGGAACACACACCACTGGCTTAGTGCGGGAATCAGGAACGGGCCGGACCGGACTGGTGACATGCACCACTTGATTGGTGCGAGGAGCGGGACTGGGTTCCTTCATTAACCCCCGCTCCTTCTGCTGCCTAACCAGCTCCTCTCGCCGTGCCTCTACACTTTCCTTCTGTTCCCTCTGAACCAATGACCCCCTTAATCTGGCGGCCTCCTCTGCTAAACAGCTGAACCGCTCTATCGCGGCCTCCTGCTGCCTCGTCGTCCACGGCGTGAGCCCCCCCCTAAAAAAATGTTGGGCTTGTCTCTCCCCCGTGATCATGGCCTCCATCCCTCTTGCCAGACTCTCGCTCATCTCCTCCCAAGTCCATCCTCTCTCCTCATCACGCTGCTTGATCCAGGATTGGTGGGATCTTCTGTCACGATCGTTTACGGACGAGAAGGACCAAGGCGCAGCGTGATATGCATTCATATTTATTTCACGAATAAACGCACAACCAAAACAACAAACGAAACGTGACGTCCAAGGTAGACAAATAACATACCTCAACACGGAACAAGATCCCACACCCCACTAGTGCCAACAGGCTACCTAAGTATGGTCCCCAATCAGAGACAACGAGCTACAGCTGCCTCTGATTGGGAACCACCCTGGCCAACATAGATCTAAACGATCTAAAACTAACATAGACAAACCCAACACAGAAAATACACACCCAAAAATACACACCCGTTTTCTGTAAGTCTTCGCAAGGTTTTCACACACTGTTGCTGGTATTTTGGCCCATTCCTCCATGCAGATCTCCTCTAGAGCAGTGATGTTTTGGGGCTGTCGCTGGGCAACACGGACTTTCAACTCCCTCCAAAGATTTTCTATGGGGTTGAGATCTGGAGACTGGCTAGGCCACTAGGACACTCCAGGACCTTGAAATGCTTCTTACGAAGCCACTCCTTCGTTGCCCGGGCGGTGTGTTTGGGATCATTGTCATGCTGAAAGACCCAGCCACGTTTCATCTTCAATGCCCTTGCTGATGGAAGGAGGTTTTCACTCAAAATCTCACGATACATGGCCCCATTCATTCTTTCCTTTACACGGATCAGTCGTCCTGGTCCCTTTGCCGAAAAACAGCCCCAAAGCATGATGTTTCCACCCCCATGCTTCACAGTAGGTATGGTGTTCTTTGGATGCAACTCAGCATTCTTTGTCCTCCAAACACGACGAGTTGAGTTTTTACCAAAAAGTTATATTTTGGTTTCATCTGACCATATGACATTCTCCCAATCCTATTCTGGATCATCCAAATGCACTCTAGCAAACTTCAGACGGGCCTAGACATGTACTGGCTTAAGCAGGGGGACACGTCTGGCACTGCAGGATTTGAGTCCCTGGCGGCGTAGTGTGTTACTGATGGTAGGCTTTGTTACTTTGGTCCCAGCTCTCTGCAGGTCATTCACTAGGTCCCCCCGTGTGGTTCTGGGATTTTTGCTCACCGTTCTTGTGATCATTTTGACCCCAAGGGGTGAGATCTTGCGTGGAGCCCCAGATCGAGGGAGATTATCAGTGGTCTTGTATGTCTTCCATTTCCTAATAATTGCTCCCACAGTTGATTTCTTCAAACCAAACTGCTTACCTATTGCAGATTCAGTCTTCCCAGCCTGGTGCAGGTCTACAATTTGGTTTCTGGTGTCCTTTGACAGCTCTTTGGTCTTGGCCATAGTGGAGTTTGGAGTGTGACTGTTTGAGGTTGTGGACAGGTGTCTTTTATACTGATAACAAGTTCAAACAGGTGCCATTAATACAGGTAACGAGTGGAGGACAGAGGAGCCTCTTAAAGAAGAAGTTACAGGTCTGTGAGAGCCAGAAATCTTGCTTGTTTGTAGGTGACCAAATACTTATTTTCCATCATAATTTGCAAATAAATTCATTAAAAATCCTACAATGTGATTTTCTAGATTTTTTTTTCTCAATTTGTCTGTCATAGATGATGTGTACCTATGATGAAAATTACAGGCCTCTCTCTTAAGTGGGAGAACTTGCACAATTGGTGGCTGACTAAATACTTTTTTCCCCCACTGTATATATATACAATTGAAGTCAGAAGTTTACATACACTTAGTTTGGAGTCATTAAAACTTGTTTTTCAACCACTCCACACATTTCTTGTTAACAAACTATAGTTTTGGCAAGTCGGTTAGGACATCTACTTTGTGCATGACACAAGTAATTTTTCCAACAATTGTTTACAGACAGATTATTTCACTTATAATTCACTGTATCACAATTCCAGTGGGTCAGAAGTTTACATACACTAAGTTGACTGTGCCTTTAAACAGCTTGGAATTGATGTCATGGCTTCAGAAGCTTCTGATAGGCTAATTGTCATAATTTGAGTCAATTGGAGGTGTACCTGTGGATGTATTTCAAGGCCTACCTTCAAA